CATAGCAACTCAGTCCACAATAGCTACGATTTCAGGTGTAAATCAGACTGTTTCCACTACTTCTAGGAAGATGTGTTCTATTACCATTGGTTCCCCAATCGACAAATCGCTATTATTGCCCTCAACGGCGTTTGTTGTTCCAAGTATTTCAGGAAATTTGCCTTCGTTTTCTGTAACTTCAGAATTTGCTTCTCGGATGCCAAATATTCGTTTGGCAGATACGCAGTTATTCGACTGCAGACCTGTAGATATATTGATAGGTGCAGATCTTTATCCAAAGATAATATTACCAGGCACTCATATCAATATATCAGGTACATTAGTTGCACAGGATACGATTTTCGGGTGGATTATTACAGGCCCAGTTCCTAGTTCTCATGTCAGGGTATATTCTACAACTATTTCGGGCACAGTTTACGAAGCAAGGCACAAATCCACCTCTACATCAAAATATTATCCAAATTATTGGCGACAATTTCAGCGTAAAAAAGCTCCAACTCTTAAGAAACATTTTTAAGTATGACACGATTGTTCTTTCCATTATTTCTGCTCGTTTTTCTGAGAGGAAACATTCATAGTTTGTTTTGCTCCACAAATTACCAAATGATACTGCTTTTCCTTCTTCTCATGTGCCTTATTAACTACAGTCCACATTCGCACAAGGTACAGAATCCAAGTCACTTTAGGTCGGATCTCCAATTCTTGTTTTCCAGAGCCATTAATAAATGAATCTCCTATGCATATTGTTAATCGGTTTAGAAAAATGAAAGCGTCAACTCAACAATTCTACTTTCGTTGGATATGAGTTTGTAAAAGGTTTCTTTCCATATAATCGTTATAAGGAAATTTCCGAGACGCGATATACAGACGGAAGATTTAGTGGTAATTCGTAATAAACAAACTTCCACTTCGTGGAATTTAGGTCGGTACGTTTATCCGAGCGTCGAGACTATGTACATATGGTGTTGTAAGAAGACATGTTATCCTTCCGACCAACGAAACGTTGTTTATTATTATCGCAGCATCTTTTCATCTTTTTCGCAGAATGGAAAACATGAGCAAGATTGCCGCTACCCTTCCTAACAGGGAATTTGACACACAAATGGCTCCGGCTAACATTATTAATAATTATCCAGATTCAAAAAAATGAGGTCGAATCAATGGAGGCCACTCCTATCCGGGAGATTGCACTAAGTCCTCCAGTAGTTAGTCCAAGTGATAAGTTTAAAGAAGAACAATAGACATTGAAATGGGTCATCCTGACCATTTTGGCTTTCCGAGCCATTTTTGTATGAAAAAGTAAATATGAATTTAAAAATATGCTCACATTGACGGTCCTACCCTTGAACTTATAGATGTAAACAGATAATAAGTATTTTAAGTTGTAACATCGCTAGATGTTCCAAGGTGGCGGAGAATGTTTAATTAAGAATTATTTTCCAATATTTAAAATTAACTTCAAAATTTCCTGCCGTTAGAATTTGCACATCAATAGCAAAAATACAACTTTGTGTTTTCGCACAAAGTGACTGATGTCAAATTCTAACTAGTAAACAAAAAAGAGCGCCACTTTGCAACAACAAGCGATCACTTGTTTTTTGGATATTCGTCCACATCACATCTTTTTTCTTTGGATTTTCGTCCACCACCGTTCATATTCGTGAACATTATTAAGGTAAAATATTGTTTATCCGAACAATATTTAATAAAGGATTTAATTTATTTATTATTTGAAAAACTAAAATTCTTTTGTTTTATTTTCTTTTGTTTTCATTTCTTTTTATTGCCTCCGCAAACATGGCCTATGTCTGTAATTTTGTATTAAATTTTCAAATAATACAGTAGACACTTCGTTACTTCCCTGTTGTAAACCATTAAAAAATATAAACAAAACTATTAAATTTTGTATTAAAATTTTATTTCATCTTTGTCGCTTCTCTCACATTGTCTTCAGTATTTTTATAATTATAATAATGCTTGGTTACATAAGATTTAATTATATCATAAATATTGGTATCTGTGTTAGGTCGATGTGGAATTTGGAGTTCTCTTCTTCAACAATTAAAATCGGTGAAATGCATTCTCAATTGTTGCAGAGTAGATCCAAATTCTTCTGATATGATTTTTATACATTTTATGTCCCAGCTATTGGAAAAATATAGTTGTCTATGGATACAGGATCAATATAATTGTTTATATGCGATTTACTTCATTTCTTATAGTATATTTTTTGATTTAGTGATTCGATACCATGTTGATTGTTCCGATGCAACAGACACTTGTTTGTAAACTAATTTTGCAAATATTATAAAATTACTTACATTCCCATAAATACATAGGTAGATTGTTTTATTGTTTATGATAAATATAATATTAGATCGCATGTGTTGTATGTGTGTGTGTGTATACAGTCACAGATTGTGGTAACTTGTGGACAATGCGGAACAATACTGGGGGCATGAAGTCCTGGACTGAATGAAAATAGGTAATGCATTTTGTAAGGGACTGGTTGAAATTAGAGGGAGAGAGATAGAAAGGAAATAATGAATACATATATACGTATTTTATGACTATAATATGAAGCTATTACTAGTTAGTATTTCCATACTTTGGATGATTGATTGTAGTACTGTGTGATCCTTAAAAGGACTCGTGTTATTTTACAATGAATTACAACCTCAGTAGAGTTTCTGTTGTCAGGATTTTTTAGAATCACTCGACGGGGGAGTGTTTCGTTACGTTTATTCGTTCGACAGTGTGGTATTGCATTGGTATTTGTACATTTAGTAGTATTAGTTAATTTAGTATATTGGTAAGAGTGTGATTCGTAGTAAATTTTAAATACGATATTATTGCTGATTTACAGGTAATTTAAATTAAATAGTTAACAGTCTTTAGGAAGCCTTATTATGTATGTAAGTAAGTATGTATATTGCGAATAAGTTGCTCTGGTTTGTGTTGATATGTTGGCCGTGGTTGCTCGAAACAAGAAATGCCTAAAAGTATGCAGTGTTTTTGTCGGCATACATAGCAGATGTACATATGTTAACACAGATCACTGAAATACAGTACTGTTAGCAAAAACAGTTGTTGTTACTGTTATTGTCAGGGCCATGAATGCAAGCCACATAGCATGTGTGCGTAGTTGTGTAAATGTGAGAAATACAGTACATTCATAATATGTACCTTGATTGACTGTAAATAATATTCTTGTGTGTGGAAGAAAAATTCTAAACTCATAGAAGGAAATGAAATTATTACTAGTGTTACTATCATTGATATTGTCTACTTAAAAGAGTCGCTTGTAAAGGCCTGGTTATAACATTTAATTTGACAAAAAATAATTGATTTATAAAAAACATATACTAGTGTAAACATTAAAAAAATTGAAAATTCGGCATTTTTAAAAATATTTAATAAACACATTTTCATTCGTTTTTACAGATTTTATAATTTCTCATTGTGATCGTTTCTTGTTTACAATATGCGATAAAATGCCTTTGTAAATGCACTTCCTTTCATAACAACATAGTTCCTTCCTGTCGAGGCAAAACGTTAAGCCTCCTACTTAATTCAATGCGTATGCGTACGAATATACTCCCATTTTAAACTTGCAATGTATTAATATTTGAGGCGTTCAGTGCACTTTTCGTTTAATTCCACATTTCAAAATTCTTAAATTTTCTGTTCACGGCCTTGGTATAGTCATATCTTTACTGAATAATAACGAATTCAGATTATAAAGCGACATTAAAAATAAAATACATTTCATAATCGCTTTTCGTTTTTGGGATTTAATCGATGTGTGCAATGAGCGGTTCGTTCATTCATCAATCGAAATGAAAAATATTATTTAAAACAGCGTCGTCGGAAAATGTTAAACTTTTACAAAATGTTCTGAAATGTGTGAACATGTTCAGCTTAATATTTTTAAGCGTATTTATCTTTAGAGGTGAATAGAAACGTACGCATACGCATGGAATTGGGTACGAGCCTTAAATAAACCGACATCATGAATCGATATGGTATGTGAATGTTGAAGGCTCAAAACTGTAACCATCATGATGTCTGCAAGAAACATATAAACAAACAAACAAACAAACAAAAAACAATTTTTTAATTTTTTCATTTAAAATGAGGTCAAAATCATTTTGGTTTTTATTTTCTTTTTGTAATATTTGCTTTTACTTCTTCCTTTCGCAATAAATACTATTTAATTCAGTTCTGTCATCCTTATTAACTAAAATAACAACTTAGGGGTGTTTTTCTATCAACTAGAGTTTACATTTACAGAATACGATATAGTAAGTACAAATACAAAAAATTATTATTAATATAATAATAAAAATGGTAATGTTCACAAAAATATGACTAACAAGATAACAGCACGGCTCGGTGGCGGCGTCTGCGCACCGTAGCTCGTGCCCGGTACCGATAGGAAACAAACAAAAGTAAAACTAGTTTCAGTTAGTATTTAGTATAGTACATTAACAATCACAATCGTTTGGTCGGAGAGAGGTCCTTCTTCCCTCCACGCACGTAGGTCGGGGGGCGGGGAAGCCCGTACTCGTGGTCGGAAAGCGGACGTTCGAAGCTTAGGACTAAAACAATAACAATGATAAAATAGATTTCTTTGTTTATCTGTTTGGAGTTATTTGGACTAAGGTGTTATTGCTTCATCGTTGAGAGTTTAACTGTTGCTTTAACGGTTTTTGTTGGTGCCCTTGTGGCGAGGATTTGTTTCTTTACATGTAATGAGGTCGAAAGCTCGATTCGATATTTACAAGTGGTTTGGTTGTTGGAGAATTTTTCTCCCATTGGTATTTACACTTAGAGCTACTGCGTACATACTAGGATTAGATGATACGTAGGATTCTTCTGAGAGGAGGATAGGTTGCTTATATTCTAAATTTGACTATGTATTTGGATTAGAGTCTACTGAGTAAGGATGTGGTTGCCACATATTCGAAGTGTTGTTGAACGCGTGTTCAGACCTGATCTCACGCCTGCAACAGCTCGTTGTTGTTTTGCGACTGAGGTGCACCGCTCGATGACGACGACGTATTCTCCAGAGTGGAAGTGATTGTAGAGGAGGCGCTGTTATTGTTTGGACTAGATGCCTCGGTGGAGGGCGCTGTGTTTTGGGCTGATGTTGGTAGCATATTCATAGCAGTTATATTCTGTGCGTTGTTGTTGTTCGATTTCCGTTTGTGCCATGAAAAACTTAGCGCGCTCGCTAGTTTACTGGGTGGTTTCTGTGCAGGTGCAGGTGGCGCTGGAGGTATGGGAATGGCAATGTCGTAGTCGTGACGACCAATGGATGAGGCAGGTGTATGGTGACTATATCCAGAATCGGATCCGAAACTAGAGTCTCCGTGCGCGTAGAGCGGTGTTGCATTTTGGTAGGTTTGCGAGGCAGGATGGTTGTGTCTGTAGCCAGAGGACATGCTTCCGGAGCTATATTCGGGCATGATGTAGGCAGGGTATGATGCGATGGGTAATGGAATGCGGTTGTTGGGTATGCTGCAGGATTCATAGTGGTAGTTTTGGTGATAGATAGGTTCTGTGTAACCATATGCTGGTTCGAGACTGTCTGGTGGAGCTACCATACGGCCTCTTCTTCTATCCACTGAGCGTGGATTCGTTCTAGTTCTCATTGAACTCGTCAAAAAGCCATTTGCACCATTGGATGCACAGTATGGCTGCGGATATCTACCACTACCGATATAGTGCATGCGTTCGCCGAAAATAGTTGCAACTGCTGGGCCTGTTTTATTCTTCAGTTGGGCGTTGATGCGGTTTCGTCTATCCACTTCACTTTCTATGGTGTTGTAGAAGTGGGGCGGGACATGGGCTGACATATTCCTATTGTTGTTGGTATGGTGCATATGATGCAGACTGTGGTGATAGCTTTGTGCTTGAGGATGTAGCTGGTGCGGATATCCCAAAGCCATAAGATTACTTCCGTTGTCATACATGTGCTGCAACGGTGTCAGGTCGGTAACCTCGGCGGTGGATGCCGACGTATTCAAATCTTCGGTTGTTGTACTTCTACGATCATTTCGTGATCGAGCTACGACTGCCGATGACCTGCGTCCCGTTGTTTGTCTCATCATGCCGGATAATAAGGTGGAAGGCCCGCAACTTCTGGTGGTCAAGGAATTCACATTTGTGTTGTTATTACTGTGTGACGAGCTCGAAGACGCCGCAGTAGCCGTTGAGGCGTCCTGATTGGATGAATCCGATGACAGAACACTATTACGCTCGTGCACATTGGTTGATGCATTCGATGTTGTTGGCATAGAGTTGTTGGGATGCTCCAGTTGAGTGTTGGCTGCAGCACTCGTTGACTCGGTATTGTTGGGTTTGTTGAATGAACGCTCTCCTGGCAAGGAGAGTTCGTCCTCAGCAAAATCATCATCTGAATGTAGGGGTGGTTCACTTTCACCGTCAGAATCGCGGTTGGCACCCAATTCCTCGTACACATTGTCGTTCGAGCGATAGGGGTCTGGACCGGGAGAATTTGTAACCAAGAACGGAGGGGATCTCGTCATGGGATATCCGCTTGGGTAGTGAATGCTCTTGGTATGCAACATCTGTACAAAGGAAAGAGAAGATGGAAATCCCGTTAGAAACATAAATGAGAACATTTGTTATAAAGGTATCGAAGAGGCACGACTGTCATAGAGCAACCCGATATTATTTTTGGAATTGTTTCCAGCGTGGCTGATAAAACGGATCACTACACCACACTAACGAGCCTGTGTGTGAAGAACATGATTTGTTTTGACTTAAACGAAGGAAACTTAATACACGCATAATGAACCGAACAATTATGGTTTTCGCTGTCGTGTCGCTTTTGAAGCTATGGTATTCCACAAGGTTAAGATAAACAAGAAAGCTTTGCCGGAAACGCAAATGTCAACATCAAAACACAAAAGACTCTACATTTCTTTGTCGCTACCAAACAATGGAGTCGTTGGAGCAAAAGGAGGCTGTAATTCTACACCTCTAAGGAGTGACATGCGTGCGTGCGTATGCGGGCTTGGGAAACAGGATGTGTTTAAGTAAAATACAACGACTGAAGTGACAGACGCTCTAATCAATTTGAAATTTGTTTTGACATTTCAATGTGAAGTTCAACGGGAGACTTACCTCAATGTTATGATGGTGGCGCATTACCAGAGGTCTGTGATGACCTAGGTGAGCATCGGGATCCTCATAGGTTACGGTATGTCCAGCAGTAAGGGCTGCTAGGGGTCCTCGGTTGGGTGTTTTACAAGGCAAAAGATTTTGAACTTTTCGTTTGTTTCTGCAAATAACAAGAAGATGGAAAAAGTAAAAGATTAGTAATCTACATACACAAATTTAGAGCAACGATGATATAGTAGCGAACACAATTCACCTTTCGTAAAGTTCCCTTTCTTGCTGTTGGCTTTGTAAACAGTATTATTTACATTTGTCGACCAAAGAACAAGAATTGGCTTTTAAATGAAAGTTTCGCACAACAACATCCCTCGAAAGCACTCAAAAGAAGTTAAGTTTTTTCGGGGCAAAGCCACCACTTGATTTTCAATTGGTAACGCCCTGGATTATAATAACATATTTCCAAACGTGAATTTGGTTTTCAATAAAAGTTATTATATAATGAATTACCGCTGTACGATTTGGCGGTGTTAAATTACTTTGTTTTTCGCTGCAGGTCATTTATGTTATTAATAACCCGGTTAACACACATTTTATGGCACTTAAACAATGTCATCAATTTAGAAAGAGTCTACGTCCGACCGTGTCCACCGCCCAAGCCATGTATTAGCATGAAGAAGTGGGCATTGTTGACAACAGTGTTCAACATAATTACCGCTGCTACCATGAACTGGGCTTTGCTCTCTACAGGCTTAAGCTGTTGGCAGCTCATTAGCATAAGTCTAAATGCCGCATTAACTTTAAGACTCGGATAAGCCCGTATTTGAGCGGGCCTATATGTGTATGTGTGTGTGTGCATTCATATTATTAATTTTTGGCTTTATTATAAATTTTAGCCAAAACGAATGGATATTATAAATTACCCTGTCTGTCGAGTTGTTTTCAATCCACAGCTTTACGCTGCAGCTTGGATATGTATGCCAACAACAATTCGAAAAATTAATAATAATATTGTCAGGGTTATGAATAAATAAAACCAATTCCAAGCATTTGGATTGAAAGCCGATGATGGCCTGCCTGCCTGACTGGGGTGGATGTTTGCCGCAAAACTGTGGAATGAAAGCGAGTCTTTAAGAAATTCGTATCCACTTTATTTTGTTAGCACTGTGAATTTGTTCTTGTTCATCGCGTCCTTAGAAGTCCATACCACACACATAGCATGAATTGTGTGTATGTGCCGATTCATATATTTGGAGTGTAGAGGTCCCACGGCAAGGATGGAGCGGGGCAGTCATAAGACCATTATCGTTTATAAGTCTATATAAACAACACACCAGTACCAACAGCAATAACAAGATGAGAAGAAACAAAAACGTCTACTCATAAATAAAATTAAATGTTATTTTATTTATATGGTCTTATGTTAACAAGACATCTAAAAATGAATATGGCCTTAAGGCTGTGTATTTTGCGTGTAAAAGAAATATTACTATCATTTGGCTTGTGCGTACATATACATTACATACATACATATACAGGCTAACAAACATTGCTGGGCTGTCTGTCTCTTTGATTGTTGGAATAATTCCATAAATGCAACGACACATCTCGCATTCGCAACACAGAGAGTGAGAGCAGAAAAGGTGCTAGTAGAACACACATGCATGCAAGGCGCTCCAGCTGGAAACAAACATCACTGCTGGACAGTGATGCCAGCCATATGTATATTTATTGTTTCAAAATTTGGCACTGTTCGACATTTGGCGTATTTGCATAGCCTGAATTGTTGGACCTATGCAAACACAGAATTATCTTGTATATTCATAATAATGAAAGTAAATAGTTGCAGGCGTTAATAGGGGACACTGTCCCACAAAGAAGAACGAATAAAGGAAATACAGTCATGAATGAATGATATGTACATAGTAAATGAATGTAATTCTGACAATACTTACTTCCATACAAACAGCGATGAGATCAATACGACCAACACTAAAAGCAGCGAGAATACGGCAATCATTGCTGATGTCTGCAGAGTTTGACTACTGTAGAGACTGGCATCTAGGATCTACAAATAAAGAAAATAGGTAAAAGATGTTAGCACGTTTAAACCGGTGTAAGACGTAATAAAAATTATATAAAATACGAATATGTCCCCAGCCAATTTTCATTTCATTCAATATTTTGTGAAGCTTGTGACGGCCAAATAGAATGGAGACTAGTTTCCTTTTTAATGGACAAAATTATTAATTTCTTAATACTTAATAAAATTGATTTATTCTGGCTTCTGTTGCTCTGCCGTTCGAAATTGAAAATTTATTGTGTAAACACAAGTGACATACATTCAGTGTTCGGCTTATCGCTTGATATGCTCAAGTCTACTGTAAAAACTGGGGAGATATGCGAACCCCTGACCCAAGCCAATGGTGGCAATTAATCATTTCAATCGGGGAAGGGATCTCAAATAAATATTTAATTTATTTATGGGACATATTACCGTGTGTTTATTGCCCACGCCATAAAGGCGAACATACGAACGGCTGGCCAGTCGATAATAATTAATCGATCATGTATGCCTACCGTAACTATCGGTAACACAATTAAAAGAGGAACAACAATGAGAGGGTTGGGTTCCGTGTATTAAAACAACGGCTACTTGTTTTGGTTTGAAGTCAACATGATCCCATTTGCGGCATACTTAGCTGGTCTTATCTACGGGCCAAGGCAAACATGCCAAGTGTTGACTGCAGCGCGTAATGTCACAAGGAGTGATTTCGAAAGGGGGCTACGATTACGTTGCACACAGTCGCCGAATAGAACATTTCAATTGCTATGTCAATAAACTATTTTTGGCCGTTCTGTTTGTCTTCCGATTTTATCTCTGAGTGAGAATATTGCTGGGCCCATTCCGGGGACTACGGTTGAAAATATGATTTCACAATTGAATTCGAAATCGTAATGTTCTCCCTCTACTACCATGGCAACAAATCAGAAGTTCAATGCACGCGGTAAAGTTTCAAATGCATTTTCGGTGTTTATAATAAATGGATATTTACAACGAGGTCTTGATTTCAGGAAGCAACATTAATGGTCGAATGGGTAAGAAAAAAATTAGTCAATTAAAGAGTTGTCTCTCGGCACATCCTACACATTTGCCTTCGATGGTAGTTACAACAGATGTGTTGGTTACAACAGATGTGTTGGTGAGTACCCGTATCTGTGGCTAAGTTTCCGCGCTAGTACCCATCGACACAAGATATTAATGTAATTTTGCGTTGACACTGACTTTCGATTTAAACTTACCGGTATAGATTCGCACATATCGTTGTCCCAGGCTTGTTGAGCCCTTAACGCCATTTCCTCTTCATTACAATTGGCCGACGCTTCATATACGGCCATAGATGGTGGTCGGGGTGGTGGTGGTATCATGAATTGTGGTGGTGGGCCGAGAGCACCACCACACTCGCTACATTCAAGGACATCGTCGAACATTTTCCACATTTGTAAATAAATAATGCGATTGATGTTTGGCGGGCGAAATAAGTTGTGTTAGCAACACAAAGAAATAAAAATATAACAGAAAACGAAAATGTTGGGAATAGCAATCTTCAATGTCTTGTCATATTTTGCACATTTTTCCTTGGCGGTATGTTAGAGCTGAAACGAGAAAAAAACAGGAAATGTTCGTGTGAATATCAATGACAGCTGTTTTCTTATAATCCAAATCGAAGTTACATGTCCTTTTGTTTGAACATGTCCGCTCATTGCACAAATGCGGCCAACATCTTCTGTCCAGCCTACCCTGTCACTTTAGAATGAAGCCAAACAAATGCTAGTTAAAATAACACTACATTGATATATTCCAGTCGTATTCCACTCAAGGAAATGTATACCTATCCTAGCTGGGGGAAACAACACCCTATGGATTTATACTTTTATTATTTATTGCTCTTTGAAAAAACAAATAATGGCTACTTCATCAATTGACAAAAAATCGTTACCACCCGTTCGTAATTTGTTTCATTCAAGCTAACATATGGTGGGTCGTTTCGCATTTGGATGTTTGAATTTTTCTTCATTGCCAACAGCTCCCGAAGATTCATGCACTGGCTGACATTTGAAGATTAAAAATGATATTTTGTAATCATCTTTATACAGATACCCAAACAAAGGCAAACACCCGACTGGCATGCCTTAAACCTAAAACACCGCATACTTCTCAGACAGTATCCAGAGTTCAAACACGGAGTAAATGTAAATATGAATATGTGTCTGTTTTTTCTTGGGAAGTCAACAAAAATAAACACGTAGTTTTTTATAAACAAATCAAAACATCCATCTATGTATGTGTGTGTGTGCAACGACAAACGTCTAAATGGAGCAGCCCATTTCGAAAAAGAAGAAATCAAGTCGGCACAGCATACAAATCGATTTCTTTTCAGATTAAGTCATGATGATGAGCACATTATGTGACTTTAAGCTCCCTTAGGATACTTCAAAGCCACTCGTCGCACACAGACCCATTTAAATGCACACACCGACGTACCAGTGCTACAAGTATTCCAGCCATTCCGGTCAGACAACGACTGAAGGAATGCCGGTTGTTGGCCCAAAATTAATCATTTCTAAAAGGTATGCCAGGCTGGGGCATCAAGATGTTGTCTGTTTAATAAACACTGCAGACAATGGCTGTGGGAGGAAGGCAGCGATTTGGAGGGTGGCGTTCGAAACAGAAACGAATCGCAACACAACGGAGTCAAAGCACAGCAAAGAATGAAAAATAACCAATTAGATAATTGTCAAAGACATTTAAAAATGAATCTCCTCAATTGCCTCAGACTTTCGACACTATTTTTGGAAAAGTTGTCTCAAGTGCAACGTCGAAGACATCTGCTAATGTTGTCGTCGTTGGTACTTCACCATCCGAGGGTCCATCTGTCGTCGAAGTTCGCTTGTTCGATTCCCAATTAAAATTGCTTGTTTGGCGACTCCTTACATTACTTGAAATGTCATAAATTGTTCCCACTTTAAACAAAGAACCTTCAGTTTTAATTGTTCATCGCTATCGCATCGAGAGTAGATTCGAAACACCCCTGAAAACGATATACTGAAACAAATGTTGTTTTTCGCTACTTTCCACAATTGATTAATTATGGACTTGGCTCTGAACGAAACCACATCTCAATTATGTTCTTTTGGTCGTTCAAGCAGTTGCTACCTGGTCGCTTCAACGGTTTAATTGAAACGTTTTGTGATACGACAGACTGCCTAACAGTAAAACGCACAAACATAAATTAAAAAGTAAACTTTGCTTATTGGTCTGGCTGGTCTTAAACTGAACTCGGAATGATGAACACAACTGGTGTTTGAAAGCAATACCTTTCCAAATTCATTTTTATTCCACGAATTTTGGCGGCTGAAATCAATGAGCCCATCCCATGGTCGAATAATTTCCCTCTAGATGCTATGAAAGGAAATGCGTTATTTTTTCCCAGGCCAAGTTCTATGCTAGCTGTTCAATTCAATTTTAATATTTTAATAAAGTCATAATTTTTATGTTTTTTTTTTTTTTATATGAATTCTTTGTCATTCCGATGCGGACAAACTCCGCATACTAATGTTTCTCCGCTTCGTTTTTCGGCTCCAAAAGGAAATTATGTTCAGATATGTTTTTGTAGATATGGGAAAGTATCTGTTACAAGCACGTCTCAATCGAACGTAAACCTGTCCGTCTGTCTGTTTGTAACTCTACCTATGCAGGAGACAGACATATTACGGAGCAATCGAATGCTATTCCCCAAAATTGTCTGTTGCGGAGCTAAGCGATTAACATCGATACATACACATGTATTTACATGTATACACCCAAAATGAAATGAAAATGTTAAGCTCCATGATTTATGCATGAATAAATAAGTAATGGTTGCACCCTTTAGAATGGGCGACGTTGTGCTTTACAATGAAAAGTCACGAAAGCGAAATCTAACCTTTTCAGCATTGGTGTTTCAGGCTCCTTTAGGCAGCATCCGGATAACTCCGAATACGATCTAACACATCAACGTGATAAAGACATTTACTTAGTAACGATACTAAACCCGATATTTAAATAATGGTTTTAACAGACGATTGGGCCTCAGTGCGATTACCACCGGCAGGCTGAATCTATACAAAATGTAAGCACTTGTTGCTGTTTAAACTGGCATTGCAAAGACAATTACTTGAACAAATTAACTTTGCTCTTCTGAAGCATTTTCCTCATCCTCTTCTACAAACATCGGCACAGTTCTCTTTGGTGGAGCAATACAAACAACCGACGGCATTTGATGTGTTCGGTATTTTTGTTTGCAGGCGAAGTGCGTAAAGCCATCCATTCCATTCACTTCTCATAATTAAAGTAAACGTTCGCCGAGTGTGCTGGCTTTGGAATACAAATGGAACGTTGGTTTTTATTTGGGTTAAATGCATCCACGACGAAGGGAGATGTGGTAATTCTGAACTAATATTTACCCTGGCATGTTGATATGCAAGATAAAAACGGTTCGGCGACTGAGTCAAATGTCTTAAGTGTGCCAGCGGATTTCGAAAGCTTAACGCTTATCCGCTCTAGTGCGATAACCAATGCGCGGTAACGAAGGACCCTGGTGGTACTTACTTTGTAAACTGCGACCCGGCGAACTTAAAATCCTCTGTTTATGCTGTGATGTAAAATAATCCAAGTGTTGATATTTCTTAGCAGCTTATATTGATTCATTAGCAAAAATACATACATATGTATATATTTTTTATTTTTGATATTTTTTTATGAAAATTTTATATGACTTCTTCACACACTTTTGCTTTTCCAAGTAAAAATTTCAAAAATAATACACAATCATTGATTTTTATATTAATTTTATGATTTGCACACACTTAAGGTATTTTTGATGTGATTTTGTTTACAATAATCCGAATCGGTCGATTTGTTTATAAAAATTTCTTTTATGTTTCACGTTGTAAATTTTTGTTCGAAATGTGAGCGGAATTATCGCGCACGTACGTCTTCATCCGGCGACTTGCAGTCAGCAACTGTTTGATAAACATTCACCCAGTGAGAGTCATACAAACGACTGAATTTCTTATCTGCCGTGGAGAGTATTATTCTGTTAGTGTGTGTGTGCGTGTGTGAGGGAGAGAGAGAGGATGGATAAATGTTTTGTAGCAATGTCTCTAACAAAAAAATGCTCTCCCTGTATGGCTGGTATGTTAAATAGACGAGGCCTTCTATCGGGCCTGGATATTGATGTGCAAGGACTGATGGCTTCTTATTTTATTTTAAAATGTAAATTGTCACTAGGCAATGATGATTTCTTGTTTTTGTTTAAACTGATGAAGTCAACAGTATTTCAGTCGAAATTGCTTATAAGGACAGTCAATGGACCGACGAAATTTGTCGCTGTAAGCGATATGTCGCTATAAATGGCACAAATAAGGCCACAACTTTTCTCGGAACTTTTGAGTAAGTCGTTATAACCGACATGTCGTTATAAATGGCGTTGATATAAACGATTATTTTGTCATATTTCCCTGTTTGAGGCCCACTCTTACAATAGTAGTTCGAATGAATAGTACAGCTCACTATATATTATTCTACAACGATTGGTTATATATGTATATATAAATATATCGATGGATCTACATCTAATAAGTTGTATATCAAATATGACTCCAATGTCTGTCATGTGGAACCATCATATTTTTAAATCATTATTCAAAATGGAAATTAAAAAATGTTCTTTATTATTTCCAAGCAATACATTATAAAAAAACGTAATTATTTCTGTAGCAATTTTTTCCTGATGACCAAGAACTAAATATTTTTGAATCATCCTTATTCCACGGCTATAAATTGAAAAAAAAAAAAAATAATAATAATAAATAAATCCACCTCTCTATAAAAACAAACAACAATTTTATTCGAGTTACTGTATGCCCTCTCGCTCTCTATCCGTATCTTCCATACACATACAAATATTTCATTTGTCCTGTGTAATCTTCCTCAGGTAGAAATATTTACAAAAATCAGGGAAATTTACTTACGAGAGAATGGGCTGAATGAACTCTCATTGTGGAACAAAAATGCTACACTAAGAGAGGTTACTCATTAATACCAGCCAGAGTACAAAGAGAGGACAAAACGCAACGGAGGTTTTATTAATATAATTGAGTTGTCTGTTGTCTGGTACATGTCGTCGGTCTCCTCGATGAATGACTTGTTTGTAATTTACAATAAAGGTTAGTGAGTGAGTATGACGTACGGCATGGACGGTTTAATGTATATAAAAATGTAATTTCTTGCGGTTTCATTTTGTCCGCGTTCACTTTGCATAACTATTAGAAATGCTGCATATTCACAACCACATTTAGCCAAAATGTGCACTCACTCCTATTGTCGGTAATTGGTATAACATTTAATACACCATGAAATTAATAAAACATGTTAACAGATATTAGTACAAATCATAATGAAGTATTGCAT